CACACTTTGCATATACTTTCTTTTCTGTGTATTTGTATTACATTTTAAAAGGTAAGTGGCAGCTTTTCATGTACGTCCAAGCTGCTTCCATCAGTAATGGAATACTTGGCTTGGGCAGTCTCTGGAGTCCCAGAATTTCAGCTTATACTTTCCATTCGTCGCTTCCAGGCACTAACTCTAAAATATCCTTTTTTTATGGAGAAGGCCTCCAAAAGGTGTAGCTGTGTGCTGGTTTCATCTTGCACTTTGTAGCGGCGTTGGCACCATTTAACGTGAGGCATGCCACGATCTCCCACACACCACTGGTGCCCAGGGACTGTTCAGGCCTGTCCATGTTAGTGATTTGGGAAGGGCCTAAGTCGGGAGAGAAGGCTCTCTTCTGTGTGACTCGTTGTCACCAGGGCAAAGGGGGAAAATAGAATTAGTGGAAAATGCAGCACTTAATGATGTGTCATCAAAAATTCTTTCTACAACCTGGGACACCTACTTCATTGGTGTTCCTGTTAAAGGTTGATTCCTCTCTTTTTTTGAAACAATACACGTCTTGGCTTCACCACTGCTTTTAGACCCTTTTGCTGTTCTTTCTTATCTTCTTTCTCCTTAAGTAATACTGATTTCTTTCGCTGAAAAGTGATTCAGCTAAGTGAAAAACTGGTGTTGGCTTGTCGCAGAGGAATCTAAAATTCACCCAGTTTTAAGAGTGGACTTGGTTCTCCAAGACGTGTACACTGGCTACAGCAGTGTACATTCCTCATTCAGATACAAAAATCTGTCTGAAAGGTGAAACCGAATGAGAATTTACATGTAAACTTGATGAGGATCGTGCTCTGCTAATTTGTGTTTTGTTTAATAGACACCATGTATGATCTCTACATTTTGTGTGTGTGTGTGTGTGTGTCTATATATATATATATATATATATATATATATATTTAGTTCCATTATGTTTTAGTTTATTGAACTGTATGATGTGGTACTTTATCATGGACTTTTCAAAGAACAACTTGCCAAATTTGGTACTTCCTTGCAATTGTCATTTCCTGTTGGAATTTTTTTAAATGGGATCTAATGGAAGCGTAAATATTGACCCTGTGTATTTAATAAAAGTAAAGGAATTGTTGATTTTAGGATTGTTGAAATAATTAATATTTTGCTTTAGAATGCTTTTTAGGCTTTCACTGTTAATTGATCCTATTGCCCGAAATAGAAAATGTGAACTTTAAAAGCTTACTGGGTGAAGCTTCCACATCCCATATGTTTAAATATTTTAAAGGGGAAATGGATTGAATCATAGATATTGTACTAGAGAATAGGAAATCCTTGAATTGTTATTTTAAAAAACCTTGTCTCTTTGTAAAATTTACCTTTTCAAACTCCCATTGAAAAACTTTGATCAGTTATGATGCTTTATACATTTGGGTAATAAGCTTTTTTCAATATTAACAAAATTCAGTGGTAAATTCACTCGATGTTTTACAAAGGAGTACCTCTACTTCCTAATATATATGTCTAGTTTTTATCTTTTGAAAGTATTCTGGGGTGTACTTTGAGAAAAATGTTTTTATAGATACCTGATAGCCATCACAATGCTTTTTAGAAACTTCATGTAGTACTTGTATGAGTGAAACAAATGATATTTTGCAGCTCAGGATATGCTGCATGGAAAGTAAACTACCATGTTTTGCCAAAGAAACATTGAAAGGACTAAGGAAGGGCTTTTTTTTCCCTCCTTCTTCAAGCTGAAGTTAAGAAATAAGAGTGGCAGAAACAATTTTATATGTAGTATTTGCCAACCCAGTAATATAACAACTCTTGGGTGCGTATTTCAATCACAATTAGGTGAAATCTTTAATTATCACTTAATTTGACTTTCATATTTGCCTGCAGAAATGATTGTGTTGATAAGATTCTGAAAGGAGATAAACCTTTATTAAGTAATTCCATTTTTAGTTGCCAACTTTAAGGGTTTTTTTTTTCTTTTTTTAATTAAAAAAAAAAATGCCTGTGTGATTTAGGAGGGAAGGAAAAGAAGAACGAGGCATGTTAGTTGGATGAGTGTCGTGTGGATATGTGGGTTCATGCATTTACTGTTTAATCTTTAGCTTTTTGCATTTGGCTGTGCCAAGATCTGTACGTTTGAGAGGGCTAAGAAGAGAAGCTACAGTGAGTCCCAATTAATAATATTTCTCTACAACATATCTCTACCTTTATGTTTTCCTTCTGTTACATGTGCTGATAGGATGATATTTCATTTTGCTCAGTGTGGAAGGCATCTATGAGGGAGGCTATTTTTGTGAGCTGATAATCTAAGGCAAAGGGAAGTGTTTATAATTTATCAGAGGAAGGAGATGCTATGCTCTTTGATTTTATAGTATTCCTTTATTTATTTTACAGTGCTTTTAACTAAAAAAAAACTGTGAAACTTTCAAGATATTTGTACTTTTTAGTAAAGTATAGTTGATTTACAATATTGTGTTAGTTTCAGGTATACAGCACAGTGATTCAGTTTCATATATATATTCTTCAGATTCTCTTCCCTTATAGGTTATTACAAAACATTGAGTCTAGTTCCCTGTGCTGTACAGTAGGTCCTTGTTGGTTATCTATTTTATATATAGTAGTGTGTATATGGTAATCCCAACCTCCTAATTTATCCCTCCCCCGACCCCAAGATATTTGTATTTTTAAGTGCTTTTCGGGTATACTCATATTTTAACAGATTTGGGCGATGTCATTGCTGGACTTTTTCAGGCAGGGGGTGGGGGTCACCCACATGGATTTGCTTATCATATATAGCATGTCCTAAAACACTACTAACCCAAAACAGATGACTAGCTCCATTCCTGGATATTCTGATTCTGGGGGGGTTGTAGTCATACCCAGCATTCTGTCTTCCTGGCAAGTTCTGCAGATGATCCATAGGCACAGGCCAGTGGAGGAAGCACCAGTGAGATGAAGTGTCCATTCAGCTCTCTGCATCGTGACTGTCTGGCAAGTCAGTGGCATATCTGTCCTGCTTTCATGAAGTGCGAAATGTGTTCAAGTGCTGTTGCAGTAGGACAAAGTGGCCCAGGAAACTCAGTGATAAATTTTGTGTGCCCTGCGTTCAGATGTTGATAAGCCCCGTGTCCAGATGCCATGTCCTCTGGGACAGCTTTTAGTGGGGTCTTTGTAGCACGGAGTCAACTCAGGAGTCTTTCATCTGTTGTTGACAAATCTTGCCCTTGCTCAGGCTGTAGGACTGCGCTCTTCAGTAGCGTGGTCACTAGCTACATACAGCTATCTCATTTTAAATCACGACAATTAAAAATTCACTTCCTCTGTTGCAATAGCTACATTTCAAGTGCTCAGGAGCACTTGTTGGGTAGCACAGCTAATAGAACATTTCCATCATCACAGAAAGTTCTTCTGGAGAGTGCTGCTATAGGATTATCTTCCATAACTTAGCTCTTCTTTTATCCTGGGTACTTGGAATGGCTAATAGCGTTAGGTGGCAAGATCACGTTACTGTCTATCTCGGGAAATAGTGCCACCTAAAAGGGTCTGCTACTACAGGGTCTGGGTTTCCGAAATGACGTAAATCATACTGAATTCTCTAAGGTCAAAATTTAACATAATCTTACTTGACTATTGTCTTGTGAATCTGTTGTTCTTCTATGCTGACTCACTGTTAGAAAGATGGGCTTCATTAGAAATGTGCTTATCTAACATGATATATGGCTTATAATAAAAATCACACCACTAAAATCTTATTGAAACAAAATTGTCAGTATTTAGTCTTTCTTATTAGATTATATTAACTATTCCTAGGTGAGAGTATATACACAGCATTGAACCTTAAGTGTCTACAAATTATTTATTGATGGCTGATAAACAGACTGCACATGTAGGTATTTTCATGAAGGCTGTCATTTCACCTGTATTTTGCACTTTGAGAAATTTGAGATGAGTATATTTAGCTCCCTCTTCTGGTATATTATGAGAAAAATATTTGTACTTTACTTTCGTATATTTTTGGAGTGAAAATACAGTTATCAATGTTATGTTGAAGGGCATTATTTGTGTCATCCAGTTAGACTTTTTTTTTTCCTTTGTATCATTTGGTAAAACATGTAAATAAAAGCGTGGAAACAAGTTCATGAAAGCATCACATTTCTTAAGACATTAACTGACCAAAACATATGTAAGCAAATAAAGGCTTTTCAAGAGCAGGTCCATGGGGATTTAATTTGAGTCTCATGTGGCCAGGGATCATTTGTACTGGCTTCAGATCTGATATTAAGCCCACCCTGCCATTTGTGGGGCTTGGGGCAAAAATACAAAAGGAAGGCTAAGCCTGTACCTAAATATTTTAAAGTTATAAATCATATATTGATTGTTAACAGACTGTTCAGTAAGATATGTTCCATTCTCCTGCCTGGGAAGTTATTTCTTCACAATGACCAGGAAGCCAGATTTGTATTTAGAGTTCTTGGGTTCTCAGTTCTGCCTGAGAGTGTGGTGATATGGGGAGAGCTGGTTCCCAGCCCACCCCTGGCTTGGCCCTGCACTGCCAGGACCTTTGCACGTCCAGACTCCGTTCCATCCTGATCTCCACTCGCCACAGCCCTCGCCCACTCCCCAGGTCCAAAGGGGCACCCCTGCAGGGAGGTCTGCCCCGGGGAGGATGGACCTGGGGAAGAGGCCCGCGAGGCCACTGGGGCAAGGGATTCCAAGCTTCTGGGAAGTGTTCTGAGTGTGTCCTAGGAGAGAAGCAGTGGGCGTGTCCCCTCGGCCCCCCCCGCAAACTCATCACACTGTGGGAAGAGGCACAGCTGGGGGGCGGCCCGCAAGGAGCCTTCTGAACACAGGGCCCAGTACGGGCTCCCTCTCGTTCCGGCCTGAGGTTGCTGCCATCCCAGTAGAACTACATGACTTTGTGTTCTAGTCATCTTCACTGATGTTTACTGTGTTGGATTACCCCCGATTAAACATGACCGCACAATTGTGTTTATTTGCAGCTTCGACTCTTCCAGACCTTGCAGAGCAGTTCGCCCCTCCTGACGTTGCTCCACCGCTTCTTATCAAGCTAGTGGAAGCCATTGAAAAGAAAGGTAATCCAGCTGGTAGAGGGAATCGGTTAACGGGTTATGGCCTGATTTCGTGGGTGTTATCATTTGTATTTGTCTCGTGGACATTCATTAAATACACTCCTTGCCACCTGTGCTGGACCCACAAGCTGTTTGTTGCAGTGACCTGGGGAGACAATCTTGGTCTGACTTCTGACTCTACACTAGCATGTAGTTATTGTATGGAAAACTGTTAGCTTCTCCCTATTTTAATAAAGAGAATTAACTTGCTCCTCAGTGGCCAGGTGATGTTGCCAAAATTATTAACATGCCAGATAAGATGAATAGTAGGAGTTGACTTCCAGGAATATTTGGTACACATCTAGAATAGACACTGGATGGAAACTGGAATGTCTCTCTGGCCGCAGGCTCACACATTCTCCAGAGAGCTGTGTTTTGCATACTCGGTCTGTTTTGTGTCCTAGGTCTGGAATGTTCAACTCTATACAGAACACAGAGCTCCAGCAACCCAGCAGAATTACGACAGCTTCTTGATTGTGGTGAGTGTCACAGAGCTAGAAATACACATGGGAAAGACGATTCTTACCTTTCTGTTTCAGGTAAAGCACAAAACTTGTGAGCTTAACTGTGCAACATTCTCAGTTTGAAGGGAGCTCAGAAATATGCACACTTCCCTCTGCCCTGTTATGGTAAGAGGGCAGACCTCTGATGTTTGTCTCCTGAGTTGGGGTGTGTGTGCCTGCCTGCCTGCAGGTACTTGGCTGTCATCACAGCCATGAGCCCCTGGGTGCTGTAGAAACTGCAGAGGAGAGAGGCATCTTGTGATTTCTCTGCCTCTGCTTATCTACCATCTTTCTCTGACCCTCCCATTGGCTACATCTAATTCATCTGGACCAGTTAAAAAATTATTTATAAGTCTATGTCGTTTAACAAAGGTCTCTTCTGACCTTTCCCTTTTTCCCTTTCTCTCCCTTTTTCCTTTTCTTTTCCCTTTCTTTCTGTCTTCCTTCTTTCTGTCTTCCTTCCTTGCTTGCTTGCCTTTTCATGCCATATTTACATCAAGTAACATCATGATATTGTTATCTACTGTAATGTGCTGGTAAACCAACTCTCTGGGGGGAAAAAGAAAAGCCCTGGTTTGTAGCATTTACCCACTTCTGTGGTGTAAATCTTCTCACCGTGGTTAATTTCAGGCTACCAATGTGTTATCACTGAACTCTGGGGAAGAATTGTGACCCAGTACACGTCGGCTCAAGCACACCATTGGTTAAATGACGTCAATTAATTTAACCGAGTGGTGGCTTTATTATTTGTCCCTTCCCTCCTTTGCCATACAGAATAAAACTGTACAAATGTACATTTACTGGCCATTATTCTAGCAAGTCATATTCTACATCACCTTCTAGAATCTCTCAGATCCTTCATTCCCGCCCAGTACTTTTCATTAATAATTTTTTGCCTCACACTAGTTTAACTGAATTTGGGTGTTTGAACCAAAAGGAGTGAAACCCAGCTTTGGAAGAAGCACCTTCAGGCGTGCAGTTATGCAAAGCATGCCCACACGACATTTAATAAATGAAAAAATTTGAAATGTGAGGCTGCTTCAAAACAAGGCAGCTTATGAAAATTTCTAGAAAAGATGTTTCTGGGAAAAAAGGAGATTAGATCTTTATCTGTCGATAGTTTTACTTGAAACGTACCGCCCAAATGTTTGAAGCTTAAAAAAAAATTTTTTTTAACTTTCATTTTTCCCTTGTACATGGAAATCGGTCTTAAACACACACAGGGCACATCCTCCTACACACATCCAGAGTAGGTTATTAGAAGTTGACTGGCAGAAAAATCAAGGTGAAAAGACTTGTTTTTCTTTGTCTCTAACAGCTTTACCAGGGTGTTAAGGAAACACCAAGTTTTGTCCTAGCCAATTGAAATAGAGATACATGTTTTGGTCAGAAAAGTGGTCAAATCGAACATGTTAAAAGTCACAGGAAGTGTTTAGACTTCAGAGACTGATGAAATGGGAGTTATTTGCGAAAGAGCGGGTACGTTTTTAA